TATGAATAAGTAGTCAGCCCCCTGATGGCGCCAAAATGAAAACTGCTTCTAATTAGTATAAATCGGACTGTTTGGTTATTGGTGAGCCGGGTGCGAAAAGGTGAAACAGACAATGAGTCACCGGTAAATACTGCCATACTTCAGCTATAAATGATACTTGCCTTTTGTGCCTATTTATTTATGCAAAGAAAAGTTGGATTCCGAGGAATATCTTGTTTCATGATTGTTGAGCTTATTTCCATTTCGAGTGAAAGTGCTTGGTGAAGAGATTCGAAGGTTGATTCCACCAGAAGACGACAGCCAGCTGTCGATTAGCTTTACTGCAACATTCATGTTGACGCTGTTTCCGAGGTAATCTCTTTCTATTCCTGTGGAAAGGCGCTAGGCTTTTGTCCGTCATATGACGAACATCATCAGAGCAAGGTATCATCGTTACAATTATATTCAAGCTAACGATTCAATAAACTCAACGAAAAATCCTTAAAAAGCTCTTTACATACTCTATATCTGGCCTCTTTGATGAGGTCTAAAATGATTTGGTTAGTTACGGTCATATGTCAACCTCGAAGCCTGTGAGTGTGTCAGTCTCTGTATGTTTATGTGCCTGTTTGTGTTTGCTTGTGCACGAAACCAGCAGTGATGGCTCAAAGTAATTAGGACAGCAAAAGTGATGTCTGCTCTCGGCCATCAAGGTTTGATGACCACTATTCTAATGTGGACGAATGACATAAGCAAGGTGTACATGATCGAGAATAATTTTTACGCTTCTTGAATAATTTTGATTTTGATTTTTGAAGGCATCTGCATATGGTTGGTATATCGCAGCTTAAGCGGCATAACTTCCTCCAGTGCATTAACATGAGTTCCGGCTTGGCGAGTGATGCATAAATTTCCTAATGTTGGTGTAGCTTTTGTTTAGCTTGAAAAGGCGGATGAAATGGAGTCGTAAATTAGCTTCACCGGGCACCGAATGATGACGACTGGATTTTTTGGAGAAGACCTTGTTTCACCGTCTTGTGACACCATTGAATCTATGCTTAACTTATTGCGTGATATGACATATATCTTCGGGGTCATAAACCAGCATTTTCTAAAAGTTCGTTAAAAACCATGATATTTGCAGATGAAATAAAGAATGCAATATTACGAT